ACCCTGGCGACAATGGTGGTGACGTGGCTGCTCAAAAGAAGCTTTTTATCGACTTGCACTCCCAGGTATGAAATCCTTTCTTCTGTGGTGAGCCGTTGATCCAAAATTCTTGGGGAAAGAATTGGCATCTGCAAGCTTCTCCAAGTGTGCATTATGTGCTTGGTTTTGGTAATGTTGATGCTAATGCTCCACTTTTGTGTCCATGTTGTAATGGTGGCAAGGAACAGATCCAAATTGGCAATGGCATCTTCTTGCAAGTTTGCCGATGACAAGATGGCCGTGTCATCGGCATAAGTTGCCAGCATCAGTTTGCCGTGTCGTAGCGGTGCAGGTAGGGGCATGTCGGATGTGTATAGGGTGTACAGTACAGGCCCTAAAACACTACCCTGCGGAACGCCGGCGCAGATTTCTTTTAGGCTGGAATGCGTACCTCCACAGCAGTCCACAATGAATGTGCGTTCGCTTAGATAGCTATTCATAACTCGGTAGAGGACTTCCGGCAATAGCTGTTTGAGCTTGAATCGCAGTCCGTCATGCCAGACACGATCAAACGCCTCCTGTATGTCCATATAGACCGCAGAGCAGTATTTATTGTCCTCGTACGCTTCTAGTATAAACTGCGTAACTCGACCCAATTGTTGTTCAGCAGCATGCTCACGTCTGAAACCGAATTGGTGGCTCGGAATTGCATTGATGATGTTGTCCAATTGGAACATCCGGCGCAGCAGCAGTCGCTCAAAGATTTTTGAAAAGCCAGCGAGTAAGCTTATTGGCCTGTATGATCCAAGCTGATCAGAGGGCTTGCCTGGCTTTTGGATCATTGTTATTTTGGCACATTTCCACTTGCAAGGAAAGTGTCCAAAGCGTAGGATACCGTTAAAAATAAGCACTAGGTACAGTACAGCTGACTGTGGCAGTTCCTTGATCGTGCGATTATCGATTCGGTCAATCCCCGGAGACTTTTTTGTTTGCAGCTTTGTTTGTTTACCGTTCGACACAAGGGAACAAACGCAATGTCGGTCTGGATTCCAGAGCCCAGCTCCATGCCTGGTTGACAGACAGAGAAGTGGGGACTGGGATCCAGACTGTTTTTTTTTTTTTATTCATTTAATACCTAGAGTACTTACAATGAATTAAGTGACTTGTTATATACAATTCAAGTGAAGTTTCCCAGCCTTGGCATGGGGATTGCTGTCAAATTAATTATTTGAGGATTGGGAAAATCCCCAATTGTCTGGAAGCTACCCAGTCTGATAGCCGTTGCATCTGGATGAGCTGGAGCCGCCAGCGTGACCACCGTTGATCCTGCCGCCAGATGCCATTGGTGTGGGTGCTTGAGAGACGTAGCATCAAGGCCTTTTTCCATTGTATGGGATGTCGCAGTCTGAATTTCTGTAAGTAGGCAACCCTTTGGCAACGAGTTGTATGAAGCCATCTGATTGGTTCGTTAGCGTAACGCAATCTTTGCTTTATCTGCCTTTCAGCCAGTCGCAATTGGATGAGTTGCCGTGTCCTGCAAGTAGTCCTAGTCTTAGGCCCTCGCTGTGGTACAAGTACATAGAGGTTGGCTGCCATCATGAACAGTGTAGCAAGTGTGCACATGGTGTTGCACACTGCTTCTTGATCCGCACTGGTGGCCACGTCCCGCTGCGTCTGTGGATTTGGATGCGAGCTTGGTGTCTCTGGACTGGGAGGAATGAGAGCTCCTGGCCTTGTAGTGGTAGCGAGAGTTGAGCACAGCTGTATATGAGACGGGCTGTTTCGTCTATCCTGGAGGTAGTTGGGCTGCACCACTGTTTGACTTAGCAGTTCTTGTATGTCAAATACAAGGTAGTCTCTGAGACTGGGTGGTCGTGGGAGCGGACGTGGCTGCCCATGAGAAGGTAGCTGGCCCTGCTGTGACCGCTGCTGCTGTGCTAGGCGACCCAGAGGTAGGTGCTTCCGAAGCATTTCAGCGTATCTTCTTCTGACACCTAGGTGACGTTGTGGGAGTCTTGCTTTAAGGGCAATATTTTTGGCTTCATCGTTGCTGTGGTTGCTGAGCCGAGCCCAGTACCTGGAGCAAGCATCCTGATACATTTTTTCCACCGGCACGACCTTCAGATCAGTGTGGATGCTTTGGTTTCGCACGTACCAAGGTGCTCCAGCAATGGTTCGCAATATCTTGTTTTGCGCAACTTGAATCCGTTCAAATTGGCCTTCGCATAGAAGTGATCCCCAGACCGGAAGTGCGAACTGCCATATTGGGGCTATGAGCTGCTTGTAGAGTGATACTTTGCATTTTAATGGTAGCTTGCTCCTTTCTGATATTAGCCAGTGCAGCTTTTTGGCCCTGTCTCTAACCCTGGCGACAATGGTGGTGACGTGGCTGCTCAAAAGAAGCTTTTTATCGACTTGCACTCCCAGGTATGAAATCCTTTCTTCTGTGGTGAGCCGTTGATCCAAAATTCTTGGGGAAAGAATTGGCATCTGCAAGCTTCTCCAAGTGTGCATTATGTGCTTGGTTTTGGTAATGTTGATGCTAATGCTCCACTTTTGTGTCCATGTTGTAATGGTGGCAAGGAACAGATCCAAATTGGCAATGGCATCTTCTTGCAAGTTTGCCGATGACAAGATGGCCGTGTCATCGGCATAAGTTGCCAGCATCAGTTTGCCGTGTCGTAGCGGTGCAGGTAGGGGCATGTCGGATGTGTATAGGGTGTACAGTACAGGCCCTAAAACACTACCCTGCGGAACGCCGGCGCAGATTTCTTTTAGGCTGGAATGCGTACCTCCACAGCAGTCCACAATGAATGTGCGTTCGCTTAGATAGCTATTCATAACTCGGTAGAGGACTTCCGGCAATAGCTGTTTGAGCTTGAATCGCAGTCCGTCATGCCAGACACGATCAAACGCCTCCTGTATGTCCATATAGACCGCAGAGCAGTATTTATTGTCCTCGTACGCTTCTAGTATAAACTGCGTAACTCGACCCAATTGTTGTTCAGCAGCATGCTCACGTCTGAAACCGAATTGGTGGCTCGGAATTGCATTGATGATGTTGTCCAATTGGAACATCCGGCGCAGCAGCAGTCGCTCAAAGATTTTTGAAAAGCCAGCGAGCAAGCTTATTGGCCTGTATGATCCAAGCTGATCAGAGGGCTTGCCTGGCTTTTGGATCATTGTTATTTTGGCACATTTCCACTTGCAAGGAAAGTGTCCAAAGCGTAGGATACCGTTAAAAATAAGCACTAGGTACAGTACAGCTGACTGTGGCAGTTCCTTGATCGTGCGATTATCGATTCGGTCAATCCCCGGAGACTTTTTTGTTTGCAGCATTTTGATTATAGCTTGTACTTCCCCTAGCGTGACTGGAGGGAAGCAGAGTTCACCTTGGGCCACAGGTAGCGATACTTGCATCTCGACATGGCTCTTGTCAGAGGGCAGCGTGGTGATCATTGGCCTAAACCTTTGTTCAAGGTGCTGCGCAAAGGCTTCGGCTTTTTCTTCGGTGGTCTTGCACCACTGGGAAGTCCCAGCTCCCTCAGTGTGCTTCCTCACTGGTAAATTAGGTGCGGGCTGCCTTTTGATGTTCCCCGTTAGCCGCCATAACTTTTGCATACTGTATCTATCCCTTGCATCGATAGATTCCAGCAACTCATCAAGTCTTCTCGCCTTGGCATGCTTGATTTCCCGGCTAATGTTGTTGGCTAATCTGTTGTGTGCTTGCCTAGCAGCCGGGTTGTGGTATGCCTGTATGTGGCGTTTAATCAGCCTCTTGGCCTCAATCATTTGTTGAATGCGCCTGTTGATTGTGTAGTTATATTTTGGTTGCCCTCGGTAAGGCTGGTGAGTTAGGTTTGTTGCAAATTTCGCTGCAGAGTGGATATTATTTTCCAGTATGTCTACCGCATCGTCAATATCTTCGCCACAGTGAAGCTCAGTGTTCAAATTGATGTGCATGTTTAGCCACAATTGAAATTTGGGTATGCTCGCATTTGCTGGAAGAAGATGACACTTGGGTTCGCCTTCTGCTGGCTTACTCAGTAGTTCAATCAGCAGCGGCAGGTGATCCGATCCTAAGTCATTGGATGTGCTTATTTTTAGCAAACCATACTGCACACCTTTATATACTGCGAAGTCAATGGCTGTCGGGGACTGCCGCGCATTATTTGGAAAGCGCGTTGACGAGCCAGTTGCCAGAATGTCAAGGTTTTGCTGCTGCACACTTTCAAGGAGTATATTACCCCTGCGATTTGATCTGCTGTTGCCCCACCAATAACTTCTGGCATTCCAGTCACCAGCAGCAATAAATTTAGCACCAAGCTGTCTAAATACGTAGTTGAAGTCTTGAACCAGCCAATGTTCCCGCGGGGGGCAGTATATGGCCGCAACATTAATGACTGAGCCATTTAGCAGTGTAATTGCAACTGGCGCACACTGAATTTTCTCCAGGGTTGTCGGCATGAGCGCTATGTGTTGGATTGTGCGCTTTACTAGGATGGCTGCACCTCCACGGCGGTTGTTAGATGGGTGGTTTGCCAGGTAAGTGTGGTATCCCCTTATATCAATAGTTTCTGCATCCCGTAGGTAGCTTTCAGCTATTAACATTATGTCGATTTCGTTTTGCAGCATAAATAACTCCATCTCTTCCAGTTTATTGTGTAGTCCTGCTGCATTCCAGGCTACAATTTTAAGGGCGTTGGTGTTGAGTCTGGCATATATGTTATGCCCATTTCTCTCTGAGGAGGAAGTGATGGAGTTGGCGTCGTGGCTAGACATTTTGGTTACCATTGACGCGCTCCATGGTAGACATGAGAGTGCTTACGGTAGCCATCATACTCGTCATTAGATCAACTAATCTGTCAATTTTACTTTCCAGGTTGCTGTTATTGGCAGGGGCAATTGCGCTCCTTTGTTGTTCAACCATTATGTTGATCAGCTGATCAAGTTTTCGGCTGAGGTCATCTCGCGGGTATGCAGTTCGCGGTGAGCTGCGGCTGCGGCTCCTGTGTTGCTGGCGCGCTTCTGCAGGATGTGCTATCACTTGCCGAGTTTCTCGCTCCTGATAATGCTGGTGGCGCTGAGGCGGCTGATTGTTGTGCTGCAATCTCGAATCATGTTGAGGCTGCTGTCGAGTTGTTTGGCGCTGTGCGGTCTGCTTCTGCTTTCGGGAGCGCTCATCTGGCAGGCCAGTTTTAAGGGCGGCTGCATAGCTGCTTGCAGCTTGAGGCATTGGCTGCTGGTGTTGCACTTGCTGACGGAATGGGTTGTGCTGCGGCTGCTTCTGCTGCTCAGAGGGCCGCTGTGGTTGCTGCTGTTGTGCCTGCTGGCCCTGAACAACTGGAGGCCGAAGCGGTTGCTGCTTTGGTCGTCCCTGTTGCCTACCAGAGCTAATTGGAATGGTGGGTTCTCCAAGCTGAAATAGCAATCTATTGGCTCTTTGTAGAACTGCAGGTTCCCTCTTTTTAGCATTGTTTTTGAAGAAGATGCAGCCCCTGTAACTAGCAGCATGTGGGCCCTTACAATTAGCACATTTCGCTTCTGCACTAGGCGCCTTTTCACAGAGTGTTGATGGGTGCTCTTGTCCGCACTTTACGCATCTAAATATGCGGCGACAGTAATTTTTTGTGTGTCCAATCTGTTGGCAACGGTGGCACTGCACAACATCCGTATTTCTTATTGGCTTTTCGACTTTGACTCGCTGGCCTCCCAGGACTGTTAAGTCGAAAATTTCGTTATTGTTCTTTTTAGGCTCAAGCTCAACTTGAAAGAGATCAAGAGGCTCGCCAGAGAAACGCTTCTTGATAACATTTACAAATCGAACGTTGTGTCCCTTGTCACTAAGCTTCTGCTTGATCCAGTCATTAGGAGTAGCTCGGTGAAGGTGTCTAATTACTACTCTGAAGCCACGGTCACTGCTCAGTTGGTAAGTATGGGACTCAACACTACATTCTTCAAAGAATCTTACTAGTGCGCGGTATGAGCTAATGTCGTTGCACTGAATACGAAGTCCGCGATCCGAAGTCGGTTTGGTGTGGTAGTTACCCTCTCCAATTAAGTCATCAATGTCCTTTAGGAATGGGACAATATTACCGTTAAGTCCAGGCACGTAGAGCGGTTCAGGCCTGATCTTAACATTGCTGGCAACGTCTGGAACATTGGGTTCTGCGTTAGAGTTATTGGTAGGCATAAGTGGGGGTATATGTTGTGGTCCCTCAGGCCTGGCATTCATATTGATAGTAGCGATGTCCTCAGCATCTGTTTCAGGATTTGGGTTTATAATCGGCTGAGGGGTAACGTCCATTGCTTCAACGTCCACATCTTCATCTTCCAAGGACACAGTTTCAACATTTTCATCTTCATTGGCTTTTTTCTTCTGTGTCCTAGGGCTTTCACCACCAGTGACACGACGTTTTCGCTGCACTTTTTGACAAGTCTCCTCTTGTCGTGCTTTTAGATAGTTTTCTCTAAGTGACGATGTCTTGCTAGATCTAGCCGACACAGAGGCATCTGTTCCACTCGCGACGGCCTGAGCGTTTGCAGCACCGAGTCTCCTTATGAACTCATCGTCGTCCCAGTCAGAGGAACTTCCAGATTTTACGTTTCCAATTTCTTTTAGCTTGATACCCATGCTTTCACCTTTTGGAAAGGCACGGGACGGGGGCAGATTGCCCGTATGTAGCGTCTTTTTTTTTTTTTTTTTTGTAGTATGTACTGGTCTATTACTCAGTACATACGGCTGGTGGCCCAGATCCGTGTAATGGCTGGATCTGGACAAGTTTACCGCACTGCGCCGCTTAGCGGACCACGCGGAATCGGTCGTTTTCTTGGGAGGCAATTGTTGGTATTGCAGATTATGGCTAGGTATAGCTCTTGTTTTTGGCGCTTAGGTGTTGCTCAGGTTGGAGCTTGTTGCGCTGGGTGAAGCACGGATTGTTTTTATTGGTGGTTGGTCAATACGCTATTGTGGCTTTGGTGGCTAGCCTTGGAAGTGTAGAGCATATTGAGGTTGTTAGTTGTGGTTAGTGTTTGCGCCAGGTTGGTGGTTAGTTGTGGATTAGTTTTGAAGTCTGGTGGGACAGTTCAGGTTTTTGAGGTTTGTTGAGCTGTTTGGCATAGGAGTTGTGCCGGCTAGCATTGTTTTCTTGGGGTTTCATGGTCACTGCTCACTCACCTGGTTTACACATACCCAGAAGGGCAGAGCTCCAGGCACCCAAGCAAAGCAGTTAAGGCACTGAGGTTGTGCAGATTTGATTCTTTATCACTGCTCACTCACCTGGTTTACACATACCCAGAAGGGCAGAGCTCCAGGCACCCAAGCAAAGCAGTTAAGGCACTGAGGTTGTGCAGATTTGATTCTTTATCACTGCTCACTCACCTGGTTTACACATACCCAGAAGGGCAGAGCTCCAGGCACCCAAGCAAAGCAGTTTAGGCACTGGGATATTGTTGTGCTGTTTTTAATCTATAACTGCTCACTCACCTGGTTTACACATGTCCGGAAGGACAGAGCTCCAGGTACCCAAGCTAAGCAGTTTTTAGAAGTCTGATATGACTGTTCTAGGCACTGGAATTTAGGCGGTGCAGATTTATTAGGGGTGTGATATATCCGAATATTGGATTGTTGTTTGGGTCACTTTTGGTGTGTATGGGTCTCCTGTTGCTATTGAGCAAATTGGGTTTGTTTTTGTTTGTCTGGTATGAACGTTAACATGCAACTTGGTTGTCGTCTGCTTGTCTAAGAACATACACTTTAGGGTCTCTTCTCAGTCTCTATTCTGACAAACTGAATGACTTGCATATTAATGGGTTAGTATTATTGTTAGTTGAATTGGTCATATGGTAATTCTGGCACTGAGAATTGGGAGTGCAGTTTGTGCGAATTGTAAGTGCACAATATGCTATGGCTGGATATTTTGGTGGTTAAGTTTGTTCAGCAGTTTGAAGTTTGTTGCATGTTTGCATAGACTATTGGATTATGGTATTAATACACAGTGTAATTTGGTTGTGTGTTTGGTTGTTCTTTATTTGGCCATTGTTTGGTTTGGCAGTTAATATTTATATAATTGTTATTTGGTTTGAGTTAGTTATTTTAAATTGAGTAATTGGATTGGCCATGGTGTTTGGATCAGCAAGATCAGGGTTAATGATAGTGAAGCACAAGGTGCTTGTATCATTATATTTCTTCACTTTATGCTGATCCATTTGACTAGGCAGTATTTTTGGATTTTTCTTTTTGGATTTGCATTCTTTGGCCAGTCTCCCGGGTTGGGGTGTTGGGACTGTAGTGTCATTGGTGAGTGTGGCTTAGAGTTTGGCATTTGTTGTTTGTGCTAAGCATTGGTGCCTTGTCTTGGTTGTGTTAGTTGTGTTAGTGATTGGCATTTGTGGTTGGTGTATGCAGTTAATATTTATGTGTTTCTTGGTGAGTGTGGCTTGGTTTCTGTGGTCTAAGCAACTTATTCATATGTGGCACTTTTATTTGGCTCACAGTATGACTTGGCTAGGTTTTGTTTAAGCTCACTTAGGTCGAGCAGTTGGTTGTTTGTTAGTGCTATTAGGGGGGGGTTCTGATTGGTGAACAGGCCAGGGGGGGTATGGGTCAGCATTGTCAGAGATAATGATAGTGATAGCGTGAGATGCTCTTATCATTATATTTCATCACTATATGCTGACCCACTAGGCTAGGCAGTTTTCTTGGTTTGTTATCATTGTGCTACTGGTAAGTATGATGTGTTTTTATTTTGGTTTTTAGTTTGCCATATATTTGTTAATTAGGCTAGGCAGTTTTAACTGTGTTACTGGTGAGTATGGCTTGGTTTCTGTGGGCTAAGCAACTTATTCATATGTGGCACTTTTATTTGGCTCACAGTATGACTTGGCTAGGTTTTGTTTAAGCTTACTTAGGTCGAGCAGTTGGTATTGGTATTGGGTTGTTATTGGTTTGTTGGTGCTATTAGGGGGGTTCTGATTGGTGAACAGGCCAGGGGGGTATGGGTCAGCATTGTCAGAGATAATGATAGTGATAGCGTGAGATGCTCTTATCATTATATTTCATCACTATATGCTGACCCACTAGGCTAGGCAGTTTTCTTGGTTTGTTATCATTGTGCTACTGGTAAGTATGATGTGTTTTTATTTTGGTTTTTAGTTTGCCATATATTTGTTAATTAGGCTAGGCAGTTTTAACTGTGTTACTGGTGAGTATGGCTTGGTTTCTGTGGGCTAAGCAACTTATTCATATGTGGCACTTTTATTTGGCTCACAGTATGACTTGGCTAGGTTTTGTTTAAGCTCACTTAGGTCGAGCAGTTGGTTGTTTGTTAGTGCTATTAGGGGGGGGTTCTGATTGGTGAACAGGCCAGGGGGGGTATGGGTCAGCATTGTCAGAGATAATGATAGTGATAGCGTGAGATGCTCTTATCATTATATTTCATCACTATATGCTGACCCACTAGGCTAGGCAGTTTTCTTGGTTTGTTATCATTGTGCTACTGGTAAGTATGATGTGTTTTTATTTTGGTTTTTTTTTTTTTTTTTTTTTTTTTTATTTTTTTTTTTTTTTTAGTTTGCCATATATTTGTTAATTAGGCTAGGCAGTTTTAACTGTGTTACTGGTGAGTATGGCTTGGTGTTTATATAGATTAAGCATAGCATACTTATATGGTGTATGCAGTTTTATGGTTATTGTTGTTGGTTAGATTGGTTAGATTATAGTGTTAGTGGTAGTGTATCATCTAGGGGGCTAAGTGCTGGTTGCACAGAAATTTGTTGTGGCTGTGTAAGCGGTTTTTGTTGCTGCTGGGGTGCACTCTCAGCTTGCGCAGGAAAGGATGCTAGTAGTCGTTCTGTTTCTTGGAGTTTATTGTTGAGAGCGATTAGTTCTCGATTGATGTTATTCATTTCGTTGACACTCATTGGAAAGCGGAGTGTAAAGGATCGTTCTGTGGTGTCTGGGTCAAATGGTAGTCTAGCGCGTAGCTCACTGATTTGTTGGAGTAGGCTATGTTTCTTGCTCTGAAGTTTGGCAAAATATTCTGGTTGGAGATTCTGTACAGGTTTTCTGACTGTTGGTAATGGGGCTATGGTACGTTGTATTGGTCTAACGTGTTTGCTAAGTTGATCCATATATCTGGCTCGACTTCTGGCTAAACGAAATGGGACGTATGGGGTGGCAACAAGCTTTTTTGCTTCAATGTTTGAGTGTTTGCCAAGTCTTTTGGCATAATTGGCAGAAAGTTTGTCAAATGTGTCTTCGATTGTGCGTATCTTAAGGTCGTTGTGTATTGTGCTATTTCTGGTTAGTGGTGGGGGGTTCATGATGGTTCGTAGGGTAATATTTTGAAATGTAGTGACTTTATTGATCTGAGTTTCACTTGTGAGTGCACCCCAGACTGGCAGAGCGTAATGCCATATTGGGGCTATTAATTGTTTATACAAAAGGGTTTTGCAATTTAATGTGAGTTTGCTTTGGTTATTTATCAGCCAGTCGAGTTGGGCTCTTCTGGCTTTGAGTTTGGTTGTAAGGGCTGCAATATGTTTGCAGAAATTTAATTTCTTATCTAAATTTACACCCAGATAGGGATGGGAGTCTTTGGTGATAATGGGTTGGCCTAAGATTTTTGGTGAAATTATGGGTAGTATGAGTTCATAGTTTTCTTTTAGATGGAATAGTATGTGTGCCGTTTTGCTGGCATTTATTTTTATACACCATTTATTGGTCCATTTTTCTAGGGTCTCCAGCATTATGTTAACTTGCTCAATGGCTGTTATAGCCGATTCGTTGGCAAACATGACGACAGTGTCATCAGCATAGGTTGCAAGTAAGGATGCTGAGTTGCGTGGGATATTGGTGTAGACTTTATCTGGGGTAGGCATGTCTGCTGTATAGATGGTGTACAGAATTGGTCCCAAAACGCTACCTTGTGGCACTCCGGCCGAAATTGTTTTTGGGGTCGATCTGGCACCCTCATGGCATTCAACCATGAAAGTTCTGTTTGAAAGATAGTGTCTAATGACTGCGTATAGCGTATGAGGTATTAGTGGTTTGAGTTTGAAAAATAGTCCTGGATGCCAGACACGATCAAAGGCCTCTTGTATGTCGATAAAGACAGCTGAACAGAATTGATTTCTTTCATAAGCTCTGAGTATAAATTGGGTGACTCTTGCCAATTGTTGCTCAGTGCTATGCTCGTAGCGAAATCCGAATTGGTGACTTGGTATATAGGATATGAAGGTTTTGGATTTGAACATGCGGCTTAGAAGAAGTTTTTCTAGTATTTTTGACAGGCCAGAAAGTAGGCTAATAGGTCTATATGAGGCGAGTTGCTCGGTCGGCTTACCCGGTTTGGGTATCATTGTGACAACAGCCATTTTCCATTGTTGTGGAAAATGGCCTAGTCGAAGTGAGTTGTTAAAAATTAATATAAGGTATATTAAGGCAGAGTCTGGTAATGCTTTGATTGTATAGTTGTCAATTCTGTCTAGTCCTGGGGCTTTGTTATTTGGGAGTTTCTTGATTTGGGTTTTAACTTCAGCTAGTGTAATTGGTTTGAATATGGGGTTGTTAGGCATTTGCTGGGGTGCAATTTGATTTTCAATGAAAGATCTTTCTTCTGGACTATTT